TTTGGTCCATTTGACTGGACCTGACGACAACGTCGGCCGTTGTGCCGCACTCGTCGTCTCGCCCGCGGTCGCTACCGCCGCGCCTGCGCCTTCGGTTGCTGCGACGCCCGTGTCGTCGTATGTTGACCCGGCGCCATCGGTCCGTCTGGTAGGACCTGACGCGAACGTCGGCGCTCGTGTCGCATTGTCGACACGCATGCGGCTGTGGCCGCGGCGCCAGTGCCTCCAGTTGCTGTGACGCTCGCATCGCCGTGCGTCGACATGACGCCTCCGCCTCGAGTGCTCGGCCTCGACGATGACGCCGATGACCCCGTCGTGCTTGTGACTTCGTCCACGGTACACGACGTGATGCCAGCGTCACTGGTCGTGGTGCCGCCCGTGTCGTCACATGGCAACGTGGCGCCTCTGCTTCGCTTCTGCGCGCCCATTGCCGCGGCCAATGCTCGAGCTGCGCCCCGCCGCGCACCACTTTTCTATGCATGGTTGCGTGCATGGGGGCAGTGGGTCTACGCCTTGTGGGTCGGCTTCGTTTTGTCGTTCTGCAGCAAGCATGGATAGCTCTGCCGTGATGCAGGGTTGTCCCACGTCCACCAAGGCGGTGCTACCCAGTGCGTGAACCGTCTCGCCCGCCGGCGACAATCAACTTGTGCATGACGCCGATCTTTATAAAGGTGTCTCTGCATCAACGCCCCGGCGGGTGGATCCAACAAGTGCGGACGACGTGCCAACGCCCGGTTGCCTCGGGCCAGGTACAACGACGAGTGCTCTTGCGGCGTCGGTCATCAAGTGCCCTTTGGTCGCTGCGGTACCGTCGAGCTTGCCTGTTGCTCAAGTCGTCGCCGGTAGTGTGGTTGCGCCAACGACGTTCCACGCAGGTGCGTATGTGCCCAAGCGTGATGCCCCGTGGTGCCGCCCGAACCATCGGAGCCCGAGCCTTTCAGGCGTCGCGCGTGTTGCCAGCAAAGGCGGCAGAGGAGGTTGATTACCTTGCCTGCCATGGGATGTGGCGAGGCGGTGCCCCAGTGATAGGTGATCTGCGTCGTTGTCGACTGCGTGGCGACGGTGTGCGCGTCGCTTGACTGACAGTAGTAGTAGAAAGGAGCCAAGCTGGGGACGTAGCGCGGCATCTTCGTCGCCGCTACGGCCCTTCGGAGCCGCCATCATCGGCCTTGGCGTTTGTTGCGACGTGACAGCTGCGTGCGACCGTGATGGTGCTTGTCGTTTGACGCCGTGCTGTTGACAGACGTCGCTGCAACGACGCTTGGTGGCGGCGGTACACCGTCTTGGAGCGATTTTTGCCGTGCCACTCGCTTCGATGTCGGTCTTGCGCGTCAATATGTAGTGCCAGCCCGGGTGGCGACGGTTGATGTCATCGAAGCGTTGGTGTCTTAGCGGGGAACGACAGGATGTCGTTGCCGTCGCCGCATCGAAGCACCAGGTTCGAAGCGAGAGACGACCGGGACGCTGCTACTGTCGTTGCACCGAAGCGTCGGTGTCATAGTGGGAGGCGACCGGAACGCTGCTGCCGTCGTTGGAGCGGAGCATCGGTGCCGAGGTGCAAGACGACTGAGACGCTGCTGCTTTCGTTGCGTCGTTCTCGTAGCGAGAGGCGACCTGCTGTCATCGTTAGAGCGGAGCGTCCGTATCGAAGTGCGAGACGACCGAGACGCTGCTGCTGTCGTGGAGTCGAAGCCCCGTTGTCAAGGTTTCGATGGGAACGCTGCTGCCGTCGTTGGAGCATAACATCTGTGTCGTAGCGGGGGGACGGACAACAGGACGCCGTTGCCATCGCCGCATAAAAGCATCGATGTCGAAGCGAGAGACAACCGGAGCGCTACTGGTGTCGATGAATTCAGGCGTCGGTGTCGTAGCGGGGGCCGACCGGACGTCGCCGCATGGAAGCACCGGTGTCGAGTCGGATTGGGACTGCGGTCCCCGTTCGACGCGGTTATCGAGAGTGGCTCAGCACGCGCGGCCCCCAGATAGAGTGATGCTTGAGGTACTAGGTCGAGGAAGGTGTTGATGTCGGGGCGGTGGTGGACACGCGGCGTGACGTGCTTCGTGAGCACTTCGACGTTGCTGTCGAGTGGTGTGGCCTGTTGCTGCCCATCGCTGTCCGTACTGGTGTCGTTCGGTGGTTGGCTGAAGGAGCGCCGCCGAGAGTGTCTTGCGCCATGTGGCCGGCCGGCTGCAGTTGACGTCAACTTGGCCAGACACCAGACGCCGTTGCTGACGGATTTCGTGTGGACTGGGCGTCCGATACGCCGAGTGGTGAGAATTTGTAGCCCCCCGTTGACGTCGATGTCGAGGCCGGGCTATGCTTCGTGGGTGATCGCAAAGCGAGGTGGCGTGGCCAGAATCCCTGGGCAGAAGTCGGAGCCTCCATGCAATGGCTGGTCGACGTCGAGTTGCAGCACTGTGAGTTTCACGGCGAGCCGTCGCGTCGGAGCATCGCGGTCAAGCCTGAGACGGGTCGCTCGACGCGCGTGTGCCGAGGCATTGGATGTTTTTTTCCGATCTGGCTAGGACGGTGTGTACGCCGTGTCGTTGCCACTGTGGTGGAGGTAGCCGTTGTGGGGGTAAGTCGATAAGCGGGCGCTGCGATTGCGCGGCTTGACCCGGTTGCAAGGTCACCGCACCGGTGTCCGGCGGGTGCGGTGGCGCGCGTGCACACGTAGGATCTTCAGTTGGTACCGCCTGTGCATCGAGCGCGATCTCCGTGAGGGGCGCGCGTGCTTTGATGCTGCTGGGGCCGATGCTGCGAAAGCGCTGCTCCGACGGGCATATTGTTGGCTGAAAATCGGTGCGCTGGTGCCTGGCAGGCGTTACGTGATCCTGCTGTGAAGTCGCCGCGCCGGCATCCGGAGGGTGCGGCGGCGGGTCGCCGCATCGGAGCATCGGAGCCGTCACAGCCGACGACGGCTCGCTGATGCCACAAGCCGCATCGGAGCGCCGGTGTCGACGCTAGAGACGACTGCCGCCGTTGGAGTGGAGTGTCGGTGTTGAAGCACAAGACGATCGGGACGCTGCTGCCGTCGTTGGAGCGGAGCTTCAGTGTTGGGGAGCAAGGGACCTGAATGTTGCTGCCGGCTTGGAGTCGGACCGCCGGTGTCGCAGCACGAGACGACCGAGACGCTGCTGCTGTCGTTGCGTCGGACCGTCGGTGTCGTAGCGAAGAACGACGGGGACGCTGCTGCCGTCGATGAAGCGGCGCGTCGGTGCCGAAGCAAGAAACGCCCTGAACGTTACTGCCGTCATTGAGTAGGATCGCCGGTGTCAAAGTACGAGACGACCGAGATGCTGCTGCAATCGTTGGAGCGGGGCGTCGGTGTCATAGCGAAAAGCGACAGAAACGCTGCTGCCGTCGTTGAATTGACGCGCCGGTGTCGTAGCGAGAGACGATCGGAACGCTGTCGCCGTCGTTGAATCGAGACGCCGGTGTCGTAGCGAAGAACGACCGGGACGCCGCTGCCGTCTTTGCGTCGGATCGCCGGCGTCGTAGCGAAGAATTATCGTTCCACGTGGGGCCATTTGGGTCCGAGCGTGATGCCGTCGCAGTGCCGCGCCAGCCACCGGACCCCGAGCCATTTGCTCGTGCGTCCCATTCGCCGACTCCAGCCTCTACGATCGCTTCGTTGGCTGGTGCTGCTACTCCAGCGGTCCCTCGTGTTGGACCTGATGGAAGCCGCGGCGAGGTTGACGTGATCGCCGATGCTCAAGCCGACGTTGTGTGTGCACCGTCGCTCGTGCTCAAGGTTGCCGTCGCGCCTGCCATTGCAAGCCCCGCCTCTCCAAGCGCTGCAGCGCCCCAAGTGTCAAGGGGTGTAGTCGCGCCCGGCCTTAGCGCGGCTACCTATCATTTGCAACGTGTCGCGTCGATGCCCGTGGATCGCAGCTTCAAGATGCCCATGACGACCGCCGACGAGGTGCTCCACCACGTCGCTGGTCGTGGGCCGCTGTACCACGATGTCGCTGATGCGACCAACCAGTGCGTTCAAGATTCCCAGCAGTGGTGCGTGGATGACCCACATTTGCACCCGCGCTTTGCTTCGGACGATCAGCTCTGCCTCGATGCTCGAGCTGCGCCAACCAACTTTGATCAAGTGACGCACATGGCCATGACCAACGATTTCCTGTTCCACTGCTCCCCCTACCCCTCGTCAAGTGCAACGCTGCCAAGCGCCCACGCGTGGCCTGTGACGATGTGTCTCCCGAGGTCGTGTAGACCATGGTAGGAATGTTGCGACCTCGTGGCAGTCTCCAATTATGCCGAGCTCTGGCCGTCCTGTGATTGGATGACAGACTGGCCAATAGGCGCTGTTCCAATGTCTACATAGCCCAGAAGTGGCTTGTAAAAGCTCACCGTAATCAGACTTTGTTTTGCCTTTGAAGAGTGGTGCATCCTCCTCCAGTGCAGAAGCTCGTGTCGGGGGCCCTTTCAACCCCGACGGCACAACAACAACGTCTTGCAAAGATGCAGCAGTGGTTTTGACTTTTGGAGACGCAAACCCAATGCGGTAGTTAGCAATAGAGAACGGCCTCATAGCTGATTTATTAAGTGCTGCATAAATATTATTATAAATTCGCTCCATGCGACTTGGCGCAACGCAGCGGCTTCTGCATCGCTACAATATGAGTCTGTGAACCGGCGCCTTCAGGTCGACGTCTCCAGATGCTCAAACTTAAGGCTGAAACCACCGAGCGACTTCTTGATGTACGCGATGAGGTCCGGCTTCAAGGCCTCCGTTGGCGAGAAATGCGCGCGCGTGATACCATAACGCGGTTTCTTGCACGTGTTCTTCCCTGTGCAGTGCTGGTTCGAGACGTATTTGAGGCACAAAGGGACGCCGTCCTTTTTGGGCGCCAGACCCGCCGTTGACACTGGAGCGTTACCGCCCTTGTTTTTTGCTCCGGGTGTACCAGGTTTCGGCGCGACTGCCCCAGTTCCCGTGGCTTGCCCGCCGAGCGATAGGAATGACGCCATCACGGTCGCCAATTGTCGTCGGTATTCGGCCGAGAGCCGGCTATGGAGCTCGCGCGAATCGGCGTCGAAAAGATACCGCGTCCGTAGATGTAATGCCGTGGCATCGTCTCCGTACAAATCGTCGGAGATGTCCGAGTGTAGTTGCTCAAACACCGAGTTGATCCACTGGACAACGTCTGCACCCCGAAACGAGAAGCTTTCGAGCCGACAAAATGCGCAGCGTCAACCATCCTTGTTGTAGAAAAGCGACAACGAAAGGTCGACAATACATGGCGCGACTGCGGTGAGGAGGGTGGCGGTCAATGAGTAGTCTTGCATGATGCTCCCGTTGGCCTCGCCCCAGGCCGAAATCTCGTCGTAATCGCGCGGTTGGAAATGCAGTAGCGAGAGGCGTCCCGTCCCAAAATCAAAACTGAAGAGAGCTCGCAACACCGGGTACTGGAAGAAGACGAGGTTCTTGGTCTTGCGTACTCGGTGCATCAATTGCACAGGGTGAGCTCGCACGCGCGTGTTACTCGCTCGTGATCAAACAGTGGAGCCCCACCTCGATCGCATTCGGGTTGAACTCCGTTCGCGGGCGCTTGGCCGAGCCGGCTTCGCCAAGACCGGCGAGGCGGCGCGCGTGGGCGAGAGCCGAGTCCGTTCCCGCGTCAACTGCTGGGCCCACCTCGACCCCCCAAGGGCCTGTGGTCTCGTGAGAGCTGACCGCCACGCCAGAATTGCGTCTGTGGACCGGCTGGCGACGAGTCCGACGGGTGTGGCGTCCGCACCACGATGTCTCCGGACCGCTCGCCGCCGTTTTCCCAATACACGCCGCGGGGTCGCTTGAGCGGCTCCTTAGGTGTGTTGACGGGCTTGACTTCGCTTAGGCCAGACTTGGCCGACCGCCGGAACAGCACCGAAGCGTCGTCGTCGCTCAATGCGACCTCCGAGTCGCTTGACCCGGGATGGACGCTTTCGGGGCTTTCCTCGAGTTCGTCGTCGACCATGTCACCGAACTGAGGATCTTCCCAGTACTGGTCGCCCACCGAGCCATCTTCGGACGCTTTGCGTCCTTCGACAGAAAAGAAAAGGTGGTCGACCGCGTGCTGCGCCGACACCCGTGTCTTTTTGCCTGTCGCCGGCGACACCAGATCGATAGTTGCCGGCACTTCCTCGCCGTCGGGCATGATCTTCGCCAAGATGACGGCCAAGTCGCGCGACCCTTCAGCTGGGTCCTTGATGCGCTTTTCAATACGGGCGTGGGTGCGCCAAGCTCGCTTCATCAGTTTCTCGGCTTCCTCTGGCGGCGTGAGGAACACGTCAAACCCCCAGAGGAGGATCGCGATGACCGGGCTAATGCTCTCGACCGCTTCGGCTGGCACCTTCACGCGTTGGTGATCACACACCACCGTGAACATCTCGTCCTCGACATGAACCGATTGCACTTGGCCGGTAAAAGCACGACCTTCATGCGCGAGAAAGACGAACTGGCGCAGCCAGTGACCGAGAGGGGCTGTCGTCGCCTCCTTCGCCGTCACGATCTGGAGCTTGCAGTCACTCTTCGGGACCTCGAACTCCACCGCCGGAACAGCCTTCGTCGCGATCGTTGGCACTTGAGCGTCTTCTGACCGCGCGGGCCTTCGATTGCCGTGATCCGAGGGTACACTGGGCAGCGTACTTGCGTCCCAGGGACTTGCTCAGAAAGGACATCGAGGTACGTCTTGTCCTTGTACGTTGGCGGGGCCATAAGTACTGCTTGCTTAGCAGGCGTCTAAATCTAGAATGCCAGCTCTTCGACTGCTCGCCCCTACTAGTATGTGAAAAGGTCGTTTCGACTCGCTGCGCGCGCAAAACACCCGATGGTATCGACTGTGGCGCCTCGTACGCCTGTGGCATATTGACCACCACAAGGACACTATCGGTGTTTACATGGTTAGGTGCCCGTGCTCCTCACGTACTATCAGCTGGGAATAACCAACTACAGTCAAACGCTCTACCAACTGAGCCATGCTCGGATCTATCTTGCACATTCAAGAGGACTACTAGTACGCCGTTGTCGTAGGCAGCCGTCACCTGGGCGTTCATGCCGAGCCTTGCATATCTGGCCAGCATGTCACGGCAGCGCGTGTCGCGACGGCCGCGTCACTGCAATCGGTAGGTGTGATCTACTTGGCGAGCTGAAAACTCACGTTCGGTTCCTAGGTCCAGACGGCCGAGAAGCGAGAGCCGCACGTGTGGCTGTCGCATGTTCTGCTCACACCGGAAATGTGCGACGGCCCGCTTGTACCCATTCCTAAAGGGTATCGTGGCCCCATCTTCTTGTACATTATGGATCGGCTTGCTGGTAAACCGATCCATAATGTACAAGAAGATGGGGCCACGATACCCTTTAGGAATCGGCACAAGCGGGCCGTCGCACATTTCCGGTGTGAGCAGAACATGCGACAGCCACACGTGCGGCTCTCGCTTCTCGGCCGTTTGGACCTATAAAGCAATCGCTGATACCACGAGCTACGCAACCTGCGCGACGAGATTCGACACCTCAGCGCTCAGGTCGTCACCGTTCGTTGCTGCCCGTGTGGTCGTCGTCGCATGTCGATACCGCGCGACGAGCGCCGCAAAGCCATTGATCGCGGCGTAGCAAAAGGCAAAGTGAATCCTCAGCCGTCCAGTGCTGGTATCCAGATACTGCGTCGACACTTGCATTTCGTAAAGGATAGAAGCACGCACTCTTGAGTCCAGATGCTGACCAGCGCCTGGTCTCCGAACGTCGACCCCAGCTCGAGATGTCAAGCGCTCGTCAAGCCGCAGAGGTTGAGTAGCACCGTCCAAAGCATGTCATCAATGTAAGCGAGCTGCAATGGTACCGGTAAGTCGCACCAGTCTCGGCGTCGCCACGTTCTTTTGTTTCCGTTTTTACAATGGCGTGTGGCTTGCTCTGCTTGTCACTTGACAAGGCCACGACGGGCCTTCTTGCTTTCTACGCAGCGAGAGAAAAATCCCCAAGACTCGATGCCCGGTCCCAGAAAGACCGTGTGGTAGTGAAGTAGTAGATGTAGCGTCAGTTGGTGTTTGAATTCCAACGTCTTCAGCCCATCGACGAGGTGAATACCCGGTATACGGCGACCATGCACGGCGACTTTCTTGCTCGAGCAACTCCACAGTTGCGTGTTTCTATCCCAGCGGGTTGCACCATCGTGCCCCGGGGCACAAGCATATCACATTATTTTCATCGACGGGCATGGGCAACAGGCCGTCGTCGCGTCGCCCGGGCCCGACGATCGAGACGTCGACCACCGAGTCGATCACCACCGACTCGTGCGTCTCTGCGATGCCACCGGCGCGCCTCCGAGCCCTCGACCCGACCGCCATCGTCACGACCAAGAGCCTACGACCCAACATGGACGCGGCAACGCTCGACGGCAAGACGTCCATCGTACTCAAGCGCTACGGATTGGGGCGGTCCAAGCACTTGGCGCACGAAGCCAGCGTCCTCTCACGGTACATCTCTCGACGCCTCACGCGCACCTTCTCACAGATCGTGCAGGCTCGACTCGCCGTTCGTCGTGGCCGCCGTGGGCTCGCTCGGCGCGTCGACACTTGCGATCGAGTATATGGACCAAGGCAACCTCGTCACGTTCCTCGAGGGTATCGGGCACCCGCTCTCGCTGCTGTGGCCGGCGCGCGCGTACATTGCATACTGCATCACGGCCGGCGTCACGTATTTGCACGCGCAGAACGTCTCGCACCGGCGCCTGCACACGAAGCGCGTGCTCCTCAACAGCAGCATGGACGTCAAGCTCTGCGGCCTCTTTGACACGAGCGACGCGTCGCCGATCAATATGGGCCTCGACATGTGCGCACTCGGCACCATCTTTTTGGAGCTGGCGGCCTTTGCCCCGCGGGAGGCCCACCCAAAGAACGCGAGCGGCCTCAACCATGCAGAAAGCGCCAAGGCGCCCGACTGGTTTCACGCGCTGGCGTATCAGTGCACGGAAGATTCGCCAATGGCTCGACCGATGGCTAGTGACGTCCTCGCCATCCTGGCGGCGCATGGCGCTGACACGCCGCTCTTGTACGACAATCTTCACGACCACGTCCCCGTAAGAGTGACCAAGTACATGCCAATCAACCCCGTCGAGACAGCGGTAATCGATGTCGATGCTGTCGCGGCGCGCCTTCGGGACCTCCCGCCGTGGACACCGGTGGTCGTGCCGCCACAGGATCTGCCCCGGCTGGACCCATCGATGCTGCACGTCGAGCCGAAGCAAGTGGTGACAACGGTCTCGGTGGCCGAGTTTCGAGGCACGTACGACGGGGAACCTGTCGCTGTCTACCGCCTCCACAAACTCGTGACCGCCACTGAGCACGCGCTCCTCCTGGACCACGTCGGATTGCGCGCCGGGTACGTAGCAACCATGTCCGACTCGATTCGATCCCATGCGCTCCGTAGGCTACAGGCGTCGTGCGTGGAGCCGCTGCTTGGCGTCTGCGACGACGCCCACGGACTGCCGTGCATGGTGCTTCGGCGCAGTGCAATCCCGCGCCTGCCGTTGCAAGAGCTTTTGAGCACGACGCGACCGCAGACGGGCGCGTTCCTGTGGCGACACAAACTGGCGCTGGCCAGTGCGGTCGCCAAGGGCCTCGCCGAGCTCCACGCAGCGCGCGTGCTCGTGCCCAACTTGAGCTCCCGCAACGTCTTGGTGCCGGGCGATGGCCTCTTGACGGGCGACTTTGCCGACTTCAAGCTCATCGACGTCGGTGTCGCGCTCGCCCAGCGCGCGGCCGAGACGCTCACGCTTGGTACGGGCGGGTGCCGGTCGCTCGCACCCGAGGTACTCCGGGCGACCGGTCTCGAGACAAGCTACAGCGACGTGTACGCGTTTGGCGTTCTCCTCCTCGAGCTCAATACGCACCAAATCCCGTTCTACGAGATCAAGCGCGACACGGAGGCGCGGAGTGCGATTGCCAGTGGCCGGCAGCCACGCTTCACGAGCGACTGTCCTCGTTGGTACAAAGATCTCGCGCTCGCCTGCATGCACATGGATCCGTTCGCTCGCCCGTCGCTCGAGGACGTCGCAGCTTCTTTGGAAGCGCACCTGGAAGGCACGGGCCTCGACCCATTGTTGGGTACGTCTGGTCCTCGATATCAGATGTGGACTGAGCCCGAATCTAGATCGCGTCGACTTGGTGGCGTTGGACGCGACGCAACTGACCGTCGGGCGCAACATTGGCAGCGGCATCTTCTCCAATGCGTACACGGCCACGTATGCCTCGCGGTCCGTGATCGTGAAGCGCCCGAATCAGTACCGCCAGAACGGCGAGCACGACCAGCCCGCGACATTTCTCCATGAAATCACGCTGCTCGCTCGGTCCGAACATATACTTTGTCTTCGTTGAAAATGGACACATTGTCTAGGCTGCGCTGCCAGCACATTATGCCGCTGGTCGGCGTCGCCCACATCAACCTGGCGCAGCCGTCCATGGTGCTCGAGGTCATGGACGCCGGAAGCGTCCGGTCGTACATGACGCAGTTCCGCGACCCGTCGGCCTTTCCAGACGACACGCGGCTGCACATTGCGCTCGGCGCGGCCCAAGCCATCGAGTACCTCCACGAGGTCCGCGTCGTCCACTGCGACCTCAAGAGCGACAACATCTACGTCACCTCCAAGCGCCACGTCAAGCTCGGCATGCTCGCACTCGCCAAGCACTTGAACAAACGGACGAACGCGGCCACCTCGGCGACGATTGCGGGGACGCTGCTGTGGATGGCGCCCGAGATCATCCACGGCGCCTTGTACACGACAGCCTGCGACGTCTACTCGTTCGGCGTCGTTCTCACGGAGCTCGACATGCTCCAGCGGCCGTTTGCCGACACCAAACTCGGCCGGTACGCGCTGCCGCAAAAGATCGCTGCCGGTGACGTCACGCCGTCTCTGCGTCCGGCGTGCGCCGAGTGGTATCAGCACCTCGCCCGCGACTGCATGGCGTTCGAGCCGCATCTGCGCCCGACGATGTCGGAGGTCGTCGAGCAGCTTCGGCAGCAAGTCGCCCTTGACCCCAAGTTTGGGCCCGAGATTGTAGCGCCGGATGCGACGACGACGGGCGCATCGGTGCTTGACCCGGCACCGCTTTTGGCATCTTGTACGCGACGGAATTGTTTTTCGGGCCGCGTCTCATAAGGACATGTGCTTTTAGTGCCGTTGGTGGACGCCGCTGACGTCGTCGTCGACGAGTGCGTTCTCGGCAGCGGCGCGTACGGCACGGTCTCATGGGGTCAATACAAGTCGTCGCCGGTCGCCATCAAGCAGCTCCACGCTGACAATTTGCGCGATGACGCGAAACTGCGCAAGTTTATGCGCGAGCTCGAGCTGCACACCCGGTATGGCGATCGCGTGTCGATATCTTGCTTGGATACCAGTCTGCATTCCTTGTAGGTTTATGTCGCCGCACATTGTGGCCTGCATCGGCGTCTGCGACGTCGGGCCCATGCTGCTCATGGAGTATATGGAGAAGGGCGACCTCCGGCGGCACCTCGATGGCCTCCTTCACATCCCCAACCCGGTCGAAGTGCTGCCGTGGAGCACCCGCTGCGACATGGCACTCTCGCTGGCCCAAGCGATCGCACTTCTGCACGCCCACGGGGTCGTCCACCGCGACATCAAGTCGCCCAACTTGCTTTTGGACGCCAACTTGCGGCTCAAGCTCGGCGACTTTGGCGAGGCCCACGCGGTTGCCGACGACGCGCTCGACGACGTCATGGACGACATTGGCACCGTGCTGTGGATGGCGCCCGAGCTCTTTGACTGCAGCGGGCTCCGAGACACGACCAAAACCGACATTTACTCGTTTGGCGTCGTCCTCACCGAGCTCGCGACGCTGCAAAAGCCGTATGCAGCCATGGCGCTGCACCCGTATGCGATCCAGTGCCGCGTCGCACTCGGCGACCTGCGACCGGACGTCGGCGACCACGCGCCGTTGTGGTTTCAAGCGCTCGCGGCCAGCTGCTTGCAGTTTGAAGCCGATTTGCGCCCGACAGCGAGCTCGATTGCCGAGCGGTTGCGGCATCGCATGCGGGATACGTGTATGCTGCCGGATGCGCCATGTGGAGACATTGTCCTCTGCGGTTAAACGAAGTTCTTTGTAGATGGACAGAGCATGCGTCGATGATATAGATTGAAAGATAGTGTAGTGTTGTCTGTTCTTGGTCGGGTTGTAACGAAGGATACACAGGCGGACGGATCATCGTCTATCGTCGGTACCCGCGCGGTCGGGACCGAGACCGCGAGCGCGACGGCGGGCGGCGACGGCGATCTCGGCTGCGACTGCGACTGCGGCTCCGTCGGTCCATCGGGCGACGATCCATGGGCGGCGGCGGGCCGCCATATCGACTGAGCTGCGGGTCGCGGCCGCGCGACCGACTCCGCGGCCGGTCGTCCCGACGCATCGGAGGCGGCGCGTTGCTGTGGTAGGAAGACGTCGGGCCACTGCTGCGAATGACCTCGCTATGGGTACAATAGCAGGATGAGGATGACGGTAGTGGTCACAAAGATCGACGTACCGGCCAGAATACTTGAGGTTGACGGCGGCGCCACCGAGACGCGTGCCACCAATGCCGCCGCCGAGCTTGCGCGGCTTCCAGTCGCGAACCGTGCGCCCGCGCTCGACGTCGACGACGATGCGCCGGCCGTCAATCTTCTTGCCGTCCGCGTTCTTGTACGCGGCCTTCATGGCGGCCTCGTCCTGGAACTCGATGAACGCGTACCCGCGGCTCTTGCCTTCCTCGTCTTCGACCAAGCGGATCTTGTGGATCTCGCCATACCGCTCAAACTCGCGGCGCAGCTGCTTCTCCGTCGTCTCGTAGCTAATGCGGCCGACAAACAGCGTCTTGTACGCGTCGTCCGTCTTGAGCTCGACTTTGTCCGTCTCTGGGTTCCCTACGCGCATGCCACGTCAGATGCTTGCGTGCGATGGGAAAGCGCACATTGGGCCTTGCGTGCTTCGAGCTCGACGGCGTGCGCGTCCGCCTTTTCCTTGCGCAGACGAGCTTGGCGCTCGAGCGGCGTCTCCTGGACGTGGCGAACGGGCGGCTCGGTCGTTTCAAACTACGCAATCGCATCGCCATGAGCTAAGAGCGCGGCCATCCGCGACGAAACACGGGCGTACGTGGTTGGCGAGCTCGTTCAGGCCCGTGTACGGCGGCATCTTGCGCTTGACCGTCGGCGCAATGTACTCGAGCGGCGGGTTGGGCTCAAAGAGCATCTTGAGGTGGTATGGCAGGTGCGTGATGGCCGGGCCCATGCCACTGCCCGACATCTGGCCCTTGGGCGTCGCCTTGCGCACCCCGCGCATGGGCGCAGCGCCAGAGCCTTCCATTCTCGACCGTCGACTGGTGGATTTACAAACGTCCCAGCCCCTGGAATCGTGCCAACCTGTGTCAATCCATCTTGTACCATCATCCATTGTGGGAGGTTTCCATTGCGATCTTCTTGAAATGATGGTCGGCATCGGGGTCAAAAAAGTGGGTGTTTCTATCCTACATGTATGCAAAATGCAAGCGGAAACGCAATTTTCGGATATTATCCTCGGCGATGGGGGACCCACTTTGCCTTTTGCCTGCCTTTTGCCTGATGCCGCGTGACTCGTCACGTCATCACGGCGCGCCTCGACCGCGGCATTAACGCATCGACTGCTCCAGCACGAGCACGAACTGCCGCGCGCCACGAGCCCACGCGCCGCGTGTTGGAGAAGGTCCACCTCTCGCACTGTCGTCAGCAGCAGCGCGTCAGGTACGTCGTCCACGCCGCCGTCGACTTCGCTGACAAGGATGGCTCACGCGCTCTCTTGTAGGACCTTGACGCGCTCTCTTGTACTAGTAGGACCCCACGACGCGCTTGGGCGTCGGCGATAGTCAAGTTCGATGGTCGTGGGTAAAAAAATCGAACCCGGCGAAACCGCCATTTTTGGCGTTACACTTGAAGTTTGTATGCAGGATGGCGGCGGCCGATGGGCTGATGGGCTTGGGTATCCAGGTCTCAAATTTGCCGGGCCACACTGATGTCGACAGAGCTGCGACGTACGCGTAGTGGAGTGGCCCGCCCGCTGCAGCCAGCCGCGCCCCGCAAGACGGCCGAGCGAAGCGCGCCGCCGGACCAAGCGACGATGCTGGCGTTTGATGCCCTCGTCGAAAGCATCTGCGGCTGGTTCAAGGCGCTCAACGAGACGGTCCCGATTCAGGGCTTTGCTGCGCTCGTTGCGCGGCCTCGACATGCGACGACGATGACCGACCTCACAGCCGCTGAGAAGCGAGCGCTCGGTGCGCTCACCGGTCTTGCCAAGGACGACGACGACGCAACGTGGTCGTTGCCCCAAACGTTCTCGGGCGGCGGCGACAAGGAGAAGTTCACAGCGTCGTACGTCTCGATTCCACACATGTATTGTCTCATCGCGACGCCTAGGTATTACAGCGCCCGAATGCGCGTCACACGAAAAGCCGAGGCCGCAGCGAACTTGTACGTCGCTCGATCCATCGAACGACCGATTCATTGCGTCGTAGGCTCAAGGAGCAGAAAAAGGCCGCGAAGAAGGCAGCTGCGAATGCCAACACGAAGCGCAGCATCGACGAGCAGCCTGCACAGTACGAAGACACTTGACCAAGAAACAAGATGGACCGCTGCATGTGTGTAGGAATGAAGGCCCCAAGAAGGCCAAGCTAGCGGCCAACGACACGCAGCCCGAGCCGCCATTGCGAAGTCATCAAGCCGAGACACGCGACGTCCAAGTGACAACTGTCAACAACGGCGACCTACGCGACCTGCGTGATGAAGTTCGACGTATCAGCGCCCAGGTGGCAACGAACAATGAAGAGCATCACCGCCACCGCGAGTTCACCCGCAGTCTGCTCGAAGAGCTCCGTCGCCTTAGCGCTCAAGTCGCGCTCAACCATGACGCGCTTCGTCGCCTCAGTGCTCTGCTGGCGACGAGCGATGCCCGAGCCGCTGCTGCGCTCGACACGACACGCGACTTGCATCGAGCCCTCCGGCAGGGCCAGGTATTTCTGGCCCAGCATGTCACGACAGCGCGTGTCAAGACGGCCGCATCACTCCAATCGGTAGGTGTGATCTACTTGGCGAGCTGAAAACTCACGGTCGGTTCCTAGGTCCAGACGGCCGAGAAGCGAGAGCCGCACGTGTGGCTGTCGCATGTTCGGCTCACACCGGAAATGCTCGACGGGCCGCTTGTACCGATTCCGAAAGGGTATCGTGGCCCTATTTATCTCTATATATTGGATCGCTTCACCAAGAAGCCGATCCTTCATGACCCGCACGGTATCTATCCGTATCCCGTGCCGGCAGGGACCTGGGTCGACGCGTGGTGCGCGCGGGTTTACGGCGGCATCCAGCGGTGCCTTCCCGTCGCTACGTTTGCAACGAACGTCGCAACGGCCACGGGTCTCGCAACGGAAGGCGTC